TCTCTAAACCCTGAGGCAGCTTATCTATGAACTTGGCCGCATTTGCCAGCTCTGCCGCCGCTTTGATCTCTTGAACCGTCGCGTTTTCTTTCCCGTAGGAGATATTCTCCATGATGCTCGACGAAAACAGAACCGGTTCTTGGCTAACCAATCCGATTTTGCTTCTGATCCATTTCAGCTGAAACTCCTTGAGGTTAACTCCGTCGATTAGTACTTGGCCGGATTTTGGATCGTAAAACCTCTCGATCAAACTGATCACCGTTGATTTTCCGCTTCCGCTTTCTCCGACCAATGCTGCCGTTGCGCCGCTCGGGATAAACAGAGAGAATCCGGCGAATATTTCTTCGTCGGGCCTCGCCGGGTAACTGAAATGCACATCTTTAAGTTCGATGTCTCCTCTGATATCTTCAAGAACCTTGCCGTTTTCGTCGTAAGCGTCAATCAAAGGCTTTCTTTTGATTGTCTCAAACATCTTATACGCTGCAGCTTGACCCGCTGCAAATGCGGTTAGACATGGAGATGTTTGTCCAAGCGACCTATACAGAAAAACAGAACAGTAACTGTTAAGTGGTAAAGACCTAATCTGATATTTATATATAAGCAATCGTCTCGGCTTACATTGAGCCGGCGACCACAATGATGATCACGTTGATCACAGCGCCACCGGTATAGCCTTTCTCGACGATCATTTTCCCACCAAACCAAATAGCCAAAGCGTAGCTGCTAAAAAACACCAAGAACATTACTCCCAGTCCTAAACCGGTGGAGAATCCTTGTTGAATGCTTTGTTTATACGCCGAAGTTATGAACTTCTTGTAGTTGTTAATCGCTTGTTTCTCTCCCGTGAAAGAAGCCACCTTTTAAAACAAAAATTAAATTAAGCAATAAATCTCAAAAATTTGAAGATTATTTTGTAGCTTAGGAAGTCGAGTTTTACCGTTCTGATAGACCCAATTGTCTGTTCAACAACAGTTGCGGCTTTTGCATAAGCGGCCTGTCCCCGGGAAGAAGCTCGGGTGACTATAATCGCCATGGCTGCACCAGCCATAGCCAGAAGAGGAATTGAAGTTAACATAACTAATGTTAATAACCATCCTTTGGCAAAAGCTAAAGCAAATCCACCGATGAACGTAGCTACCAGCTGAATAAACTTCCCAACCTGCAAAATTCAAGTAAAAGTAACCACCTTTTTTAGCAACTAGTCATTTATCTATAAGCTCGAAAAAAATAAAGAAAAAATATCAAAGTTTCTCTGTTTTTTTTGGTATTACCTTCTCACCCATGGCGTCTTGTATAAGAACAGTATCTCCAGACATTCTACCAACAACCTCTCCTGTGTTTGTTTCGACATCGAAGAATCCAATGTCTTGTCTCAGAATTGTTTTCAGATACATACTCCTAATCCTCGCAGCTTGTCTCTCTCCCGTGATCATCCAACAAGCCACCTCTACAACAAACGAACAAAAAAAATCAAAACTTTCATTCTCAATCTCCAATCCCTATGCAAATTGGAATGGAGGGAAGAAAAAAAAAAAAAAAACTCTCATTAATTCTCTATCTTATGACTTACGAAGAAAGGCAGCTCCTAGTGTTCCAAGTCCAAGGTAGACGAATTTAAGACAAACCTATAAGAGGATAACATTATTAGTAAGTATGATCTTATACTATTAACACATATCTAAAAATTAAATAAGTTATTGTGTTCTAACATTATGTACTTACTTTTGAGATAACTTCAACAATGTCTTTGTTGTTCTGATTTGTTCCAAAGGAATCTATGAGATCACCAAACAACAATGTCATGAGAGGTAAACAAACACCGTTCCCAATAGCTCCTACTGATCCACAGATCATCAAGAACACATCTAAGGAATCTGCAAATGCGAATAGCTTGTAGAACGGAACTGTCTTTGCCTTTTCATCGTTTTTTTCCTTCTTGGTCTCTTCTTCCTCTCCGTCTTTGGGATTTTTAGATGTCGAAGGTTCGTGTGAAACAGAGTCGGCTTCTCCGGCGCCGTCACGATTCATTTCCGGCGCTGGCAGAGAAAAAAAAATCAAAAAGTTTTTATTCTGATAATACCCTGATCGAGATCGACGGTATATAACCAAAGAAAGTTACGCGCTTTCTTCTTCAGATTTAATTATGAAACTGAACTTATATGCAGAAAAGGAAAGATTTTTTTGACTTTTTCCTAAGACCTAGAAAAGGCTGAGAAATTAGATAATTTAAGAAACATTTCAATGGAATCCTTTTTTAAGAAATCTTAAACTTTGCTAATGTAAATCCAAAAACCCACTTGTGGAGAATGATGATTTTTCTTTATCTTCTTTATTTCAATCTAAAAAGTTCCCAGAAATTAGCACCAATGAAACAGAGTCTGTTAGGGAAACAGAGTCACATGCTTTGGATTAGCCGAAAAAATCAGAGAGCAATTAGAAACAAAACCCAATCAGAAATTTTAAAAGGAAAGAGGTTATAAGAGAACAGACCTGAAGATGCGAAGCTGCGAAAAGCGAAAGATTTTGATACTTTTGGGGAATAAGACGTGAGACGGAACTGTGCAGTTGTCTTGGAACTTGTTAAAACTTGTTTAATTCTTATTTTATTCAACTTTTTAGATTCCAATTTGTATCTGCAGAAATTAAGAGCTTTTTGCCTTTTTATATGCAACTCTTCTTTTGGGGTTTGCGAAAATTGCTTGAGAAGCAAGGAGAGTGGGAAAAAACTATTGTGATGGTCTGATAGATCGGTCAAAAAGCATCATAATAATGCATTTTGAAGTGTGTATTAAAAAATGATAATATATTTTTCTTTCTTTTTTCCTACACCCAAAGGTAAAAAACACTTATGGTTCTTAACACTGAACATATGTGTTTTTTAAGATTAAATCATCGTATTAATTCTAAAAAATGTTATAGATTTTTGATGCCAAATTATATTTAACGTCAATTTCAGTTATTGTATAAAAAGTAAAGACTGAATAATCTTTGGTTGTTTTGCACACGAGTATTGACTGACTTTTATAGGAAATGTTAGATAAGATATAAAACTTACCACTACCAAACAAAATTTGTGGTTGGTTTTTCTTTCTCCGAACAATACACATGATAATCTAAAAAAGCAACATATTATATGTTAACACGAAAAAGAAAATCCCTTACCTCGTGGGCTAATATGTCAATTTTTCTATGTTAATAGTGAGAGAATAAAGAGAGTGTGTTGGTCAGTAACTAAGAAATTAGGAGGATATAATTTGAATAAACTGAGATCGAATCTAATTAATCTAGAATGATTTAAGAAATCAAAATAGTTATATATTCCTTTCATAGCTATCAAATTAAAATATAATCTGATTGAAAAAAAAACACTCTATTAGATTAACGCATATTAGATGTGATTTCATTTATAAGCTGTTTTTATGTTATTTCTTGGCAGAAATTGCTATTCTTTTTCTCTTCTTTTAAACAAAAAACATGATCAAATACTCTTCTTAAGGAACCACTCGCAATCTTGAGGTATCTCGTGGGATTATTATGATGGTATCACCGTATCAGTATGTGCAATAGTAAATGGTAGATAATTTAAACAAACGGAGATGGGGAGATTTTTCACTTGAGGGGAAGTTGAGTATTTACTTGGCAACGAAGCCAAAAGTCAACTTAATAAACATATCTTACAGTAGACTCACACCTTGAGAGTTAAGTCAAGACATTCATTCTTGGGCGCTAAGGCTTTTTGATAAACTCCAATGTCATAATGTAATAATGTATATAATATTGATATCTATTCAAACATTAAATGAAATTATACAATTAGTGAGTGATTATAATCATTCCGTCCGTTTATGTTGCTTTCTAACCAAACCAACGTCATAGAAGTTAATATTTATGCTGATTACTCCCTTATAAGACCAGAAGAATATAGTGGGATTTGTCAACGGTTTGAGTTTGCATAATTAGTAAGAAAGAAAAAAAAAACATGTCAGAAGTTCAAATTCTAGGATTAATAAAATGTTGCGACTCGCAGGGGGGGGGGATCCTATATCATTTTTTGTGTGAAACTATGTATTGATAAGATGTTAAGATGTAAGAAAAAAAAACTACATGTCATAGAAAGTTCTTATAAGATATTAATTTAAGTTTCAGTTAAGTGTTGATCTAACATCAAATGTAAATCCCACAGTCTTGAAAATAAACCTGAATAAAAAGTAGCGTCATTGCTTTCGTCAGCATACAAACACATCACACATGACATGAGAATATTTTTACTATCTCGAAATCAAACCAAATCTAAATTAATGTATATCCGTTGTGGTCGTGGGGGCCACTAGCTTCCCCAATTCCCATTTTCCCCCCTGCGCGTCGGGAGATGTTATTTGCATTAATTACCTAAACGGCGTCGTGTTTTAAATTTCAGAGATCCCGATCTTATTTGCATAAACTCTTCCTATTTGGAACGACGTCGTTTGTTGAAGTCCAGAAATATTTCACACTTTTATTAGCAAATAAGATCGGGATCTTTTATGGCCCTGTCCACAATACAAATTACAAGGCTCTAGCTTGGACTTTGACATTTAACAACTTGTGTTGGGCCTTAATCAGCTGTTTTACTTTCCTCATCTCTTGGTATTGTTAACAAAAAAAAATCTGAGCTATATAAGAAAATAAAATTACTCTTATCTGGACAACAAAATACCAATGGTGAACAAAAAAATTAATTTTCTAAAAAAAACACTAATCAAAAGATTATTTGATTTTGAATTTAGAAAAAAAACTATTTATACAAGGAAAGAATTTTTCTGATGAATAGAGAAAGGTTACTTGATTCGGAAAATATCTTTCATTATAGTGGCACCAATCTTAACTAGTGGCCAGTGGGTAACAAACCATTAGTTAAGCCAAGGGACTTTGTTAGTTTGCATTCGTTTGCATTCTATGGCAGTTGATTAAAGTAGATAGCAAGTTCACCTTAAAAAAATACATGTACAAACATTGTTGAATACGTGAAACTTCCCTCATCTGATTTTATTTTTTCAAAATACTTTATGAACTTTTATGAAACCATCTAACCTTTAATTTTTGACTCTCATTAAACAGCAATCCGTATAAAATTCGATATTAAAAGAAAGATCACCAATCAAAACGAACACCCAATAGAAATAGACCGAACAAAACCAGAAGAAATAAAATACAAACGTAAGTAGATTACTATGTTGGTTTTCTGGATAAATAACAGAAAGGGCAGAGAAGTAAGAACTAAGCCTGAGGTTTGTCCCACTTGAGTGGCTTGACGACTTCCCAGGTGAAGTCAGGGTCGTCCCTTCCGAAGTGCCCGTACGCCGCCGTTTTCAAGAACCTTCCATTTCCTCCTCTCTTCAGGTCAAGGTTAATCGTCATCATTCCCGGTCTGAAATCGAAGCTCTCCTTCACAATCTTCAGTATCTCTTTGTCCGGAATCAACCCGGTCCCGTAAGTGTCCACGAAGACAGACAATGGCTCAGGGACTCCAATTGCGTATGAGACCTGAACAAGAGCCCTACGAGCCATTCCGTTTGCCACTACGCTCTTAGCGGCTTGTCTCACGATGTAGGCTCCGCTTCTGTCCACCTTGGTTGGGTCTTTGCCTGAGAAAGCACCACCTCCGTGAGCTCCCCATCCACCGTAAGTATCAATGATGATCTTACGTCCGGTTAGACCAGCGTCTCCGTGAGGTCCACCTATGACAAACCGGCCTGATGGGTTCAAGTGGAAGATGGTTTTCTCGTCTAGGTACTTCTCTGGGATGACTGGCTTGATGACATGCTCCTTGAGGTCACGGGCGATCTCGTCGTTGGTCACGGTTTCATCGTGTTGTGTCGAGATGAGGACAGTGTGGACACGGATTGGAACCATGGCTCCCTTGTCGTTGTAGTACTCAACGGTGACTTGGGTTTTGCCGTCTGGTCTCAGCCAGGCGCAAGTACCGTTCTTTCTGACTTCTGTTAGGCGAGCACCGAGCTTGGTCGCGAGAACATGGCTCAGAGGCATCAGCTCAGGGGTTTCATCAGTAGCGTACCCAAACATGTGGCCTTGGTCACCGGCTCCAATGTCTTCTGGACGTTTGGTGAAGTGACCGTGAACTCCTTGGGCAATGTCAGGGCTCTGCTGCTCGATGTTGACAAGGACTTTGCAATTGTCAGCATCAAGACCGACATCATCAGAGACGAACCCAATGGCACGACAGGTGTCACGGACGATCTTCTCGTAGTCAACTTTGGCTTTGGTGGTGATCTCGCCAAAGACCATGACCATGTTGGTCTTGGAGCATGTCTCACAAGCAACTTTGCTGTCTGGATCTTGTTCAAGGCAGGCATCGAGAACTGCATCAGAGATCTGGTCACAGAGCTTGTCTGGGTGTCCCTCGTTCACAGACTCGGATGTGAATAGGAAAGTCTCCATTTGGCTACAAAGAAAAGAATAGAAACTGACTTAGCGGCTGTAGAATCATGAAACAAGGCATCATATGCTATGTTAAATAGAATTGTGACAGTCACCATATCCTGAAAAAGCTAGAATTTGATAATAAATAATCGAATTTGTGAAGAATCATTAACTCTCAAGTGGCAAAAAGCTAGAAAGATTCAAAAATCATAATTGAAACTTCTTTTCAGCAATTAAATATTTAGTGATTCGCTTCTCATGCTTCTCATTAATGCACATGTAAACATATTGAATCTTATCAAGCTAGAATCACATGTAATGAAGGAAACTATTAATGATAGAGTAATAAGATGATCTGATCTCCCAAAGGAGGGAGAAATTCATAGTAGATCTCCACACATCTGAGGAAAATTTGAGAATCTGGAATGACACCGTTTCAGATCCAATTACAAAATGGTTTCAGAGTATAAATTAAAATCAATGGTCCCTTTGATCTACTTCCATCGTCAAATCGGGGAAAAAAATCATTAAAATCAATCGAAAAAGAAACATGAATCGAGAGAGAAGCAGTAATGAAGAGCTAAGGAGAAGCGAAGATGACGAACAATACCTGCGTCGTCGTTGAGAGAGATGAGATTCGGCGTTCAGATCTCGAGAAAATTAAAAACTCTGGCTCGAGCCTTTGCCTAAGAACAAGTGTATTGGGACGGTTTGGGACGAGTAAGTGAGTGCAAACGCCGAAGCTATTTATAGGCCTTTAGTTGGTACACAACACTGCCCACCGTTTTACTTGGACTTAAAAAATAAATATTAATAAATATATTTTTTTCAAAGGTTTTGTGGCCGACCAATATTTACTCTTCCTTGGAATTACATGTCCAAAATGTTCAGACTCTTGGGACCAATTGGTCCGACCTGATAACCGTGAACCAAACAAAAATCCAATCCGATATAGAGAAAAATATTCGTGTTTATTTATGCCTGGGAACAAAAAAACTAGAAAATCAATTAAATACCAATAGTCCATACTCCTTTATTTGAGTATTTAATTTAGATGAAATAGCTGAACCGGCCAGTTTACAATTGAGTTACAACACTTTTGAATCCATATGAAATGGTCGAACCGACTTGACTATATAATCGAGTGATGTACATTTTATTTTAGCTACTTTGATTTATTTGAGGGTACTCTTTGTTTAGTGGAGTAATTCTACATAAATCATGTTAAACAATGTGTGTTTATGTATTTTTTAATTTATACAATCGGTTTCAATGCAACTAAGCAAACAATAATTAATTAAAAAAGCACTCGTGGCACACATGAAAAATGGACACACACACTTTTATACTTTACCAGATTTGTGGTAGGTGAGGGTTTTTTCATTGTGGTTGGTGTTGTTGAAACGAAAAATTGAAAAAAATCCAATTATTGGTGAGATAAAATGGTGATCGTTGGATCATTTGTTTAACGGCTGAATTATAGCATGGGATTTGGTGAAGGATTTTGATCCCCCTTACCTCAGTCACAATCATTTCATCTACCGTATCTTAAGTTTTAGAATTATTCCTCTTTTTCTTTTTAATGGTGACCGTTGGATTAGTGCAAGATGATTATTGATCGATGTAATTTTAGCAAACCTTTTTGCAAAATGAATAAGAATTATCATTGTCAACGAGTTCATAAAGAAAATTCGAAGGCGTTGAATGACATTTGTAGCATGCAAAACCCATGCTGTTCGTCTTTGACTAAAATTTTCAAATATTTTTTAGGCTGATAAACGGGAAAAAGTGTGACACATGTTTCAGACGAAATAACTTTTGAGCCTAAGAATTTAGTTGTTCCAGATCTTTAGCAAATGGGTTCAAAATTTGGAATAGAAGAAAGGTCCAATGGGCTGAATATGAAATTAACAATAACTTTTGAGCCATATGAAGTTATCATCTAAGAATTTAGTTGTTCCAGATCTTTAGCAAATGGGGTCAGAATTTGGAATAGAAGAAAGGTCCAATGGGCTGAATCTGAAATTAACAAAAACAAAAACAAAAACAAAAAATGCGGTGAGCGTGGATCGAACACGCGACCTTCAGATCTTCAGTCTGACGCTCTCCCAACTGAGCTATCCCCGCTTTGTTTATTTTATCTGAAATACTTTTATTTAATCACTTAATAACAGTCTTCTTTTAAACAGAGCAAATCTCTGACGCCATTTGTTTTTCGTTGTTGTTGTTGTTGTGTGGTTGCGAAGGTTTTAGACTTCCCCTTCTTTTCCTGTGGTTGTGAAGGTTTTAGGCAATTTTTTAATTATACATCAAAGAAAAAAGAAAAAAGAAAAAAGAGCACAAACAAAAGAGGCAAAACTGAGAGAGCTTCAATGTCTGTAACAGCAACTCACATGAACACGATCAATCATTTGTCAACAACCTGTAAAATCCCCAATTTCCAACCACCCATTTGCGTCGATCGCAGACTCGCTCTCTCTTTTCCTCGTAAACCCTATTCCTTTTCTCAATTGCTTCCCAAAACCCTGAATGGCTCCTCTTCTTCCTCTGTCAATCGCAGATCGAGATTCAATATCTCCAAGCGTTTCTCTGTTTCCATGGAGTGGCAAGACTGCACGTAAATCTCTCATCTTTTCTCTACTTGGAAATTGGAACGAATCTAGTTTTGATCTTTTTGGTTCTGAGACTCAGAGTGAAGAAGGAAGTGGATGTTCCAGTATCAGTAGCGTATGATTTCTACTTGGATCGTGAATCTTTCCCTAAATGGATGCCTTTCATTTCATCCGTAGAGGTACATTTGATTTTTCCCTAACCAACTAACTTACTTACTATCTCTCTTCAGCTTTAAAAGTTTCGATCTTTAAAGCTTCTTGCTTTAGATTTAACTTTTGATTGTGTTATGGTTAGGTGTTGAAAGATAAGCCTGATCTATCACGTTGGTCACTCAAGTACAATGCTTTTGGTCAAGACATCAAGTATTCTTGGCTTGCTCGGAATCTGCAGGCAAGAATTATATAAACCATACGTTGAATTTAGATCGATGCTTTCGTAATTAGTGTCTGGTGGTGTAAGAATGTTGGCTTTTGGTTTGTTACAGCCTACTCCTAACCAGAAAATCCATTGGAGATCTCTTGAAGGTCTTCCTAATAAGTAAGCAAAGAGATCGTAAATATTCAAAATTTGTCTCTTCCCTCTTTAACTACCTGATGCTAACATTTGGAATCTTACCGTTTCAGAGGCAGCGTTCGGTTTTTCCCTAAAGGTCCTTCATCGTGCATCGTAGAAGTAAACAACCAATTCTGTTTTTCTTTACACATCTAGCTCCTTACTACTAGAATAATTCTCTCATGCTTTTTCTTTTCTTTTGTTTTTGCGTTCTGTTCATCTTTCTAGCTAACCGTATCATATGAAGTTCCTGCGCTTTTAACCCCCGTGGCATCGGTGAGTAATCTTTTTACCTTCAAATCTCTATTTGACGCCGTGTGTAAAGAGACTGTTTCTCTTATACAACCTTTTTTTGTGCCTCGATTCAGGTGCTCCGGCCTTTTTTGGAAAGCTTGCTTAGAGGTGGTCTTGAAAGATTTGCAACCTTGGCTAAAACCACTTGAAGAAAAGGTCAGCCTTATTGAACAAAACCTTAAACACCTAAACCATTTCATTATCTGAAAAAAAAAAACAAACTCTTTGCATTTGCAGGACTCTGTATGTATCTCTGCATCTTCCTGATTCTGTGTGTTTGGTATATATATGATCCGGAAGCTTGATTATATCCCATGATTAGGGCTTTTATACTGTGACTTTTGTATGATTAAAGTATCAATCTTTATACCTCTCATAACAGAAGTTATTGTTTAGGTCACCAAGAAAAAAGAGAAACTAAAAAAACCAACCAGAAATTTTGGCCGTGATTGAGCGAAACCCAAAAAGAACAAAAGAAACCAAACAAGAAACTAAGTCACGCAAACAGAGTTTTTTTCTTCTTTCTTTTCAATTTTAGCTTATTTTTCTTAATAAGCCAACACACTTTGCGTGGAGTGTAATAACATTTAAATGAGGAAACTAAGAGACAGAGAGAGATTGGTCCTGAAAAGTCTCTGTTCCTAATTTGTCTGTTTGGCAGAACAAAGTTTCAATACTTCATAAAATCTACGAATTCCTCATTTGATTAGATCCAAATCTCTTTCTCTCTAAGAGAAAATTGAGATGTCATCAATAACTTCTGGTACAGCTCCAACCACCAAATCTGCTGTTTGTTTCAGAAAAATCCCAAAGTCTGCAACTTTTTCATCTATGCTTTATCGTTCTTCTTCTTCTTCTTCTTCCCGGTTAATGTTATCATCATTATCATCTTCCTCATCGACTACCTCTGCAAAACTCCTAAACTCTAACAATGGTTCCTCCATTTCTTCATCCTCTTGCTCTTCTCCTAAACCCTTCAGACCCGTTATGCACAGAAGAGAAGCTGATAGACTTGAAGAAGAGAGGCTCCGCCAAGTACAATGGCAAGACGTCACGTAATTTTCTTAATCCAATATATCATAAAAGAAAAGTTTTATAATTTTTAAGAGATTATGTATGAAAAATTATAGGTTTGGACTTTGGATTGAAACAGGGTAAAGATGGTAGTGGATGCACCAGCGTCCGTGGCTTACAAGTTATACGCAGATCGGGAATTGTTCCCTAAGTGGATGCCATTTTTGTCATCTGTTGAGGTAACATAACTCAGAAACAGAGTCTAGAAGATTACATTCTTCTTCTTCTTGCTCACAGATTATAACAATATTTTGCCTCTCTTAGGCAGTGGAGGGCAGTCCAGATTTATCGCGTTATTTGGTGAAATTCGAGTCTTTTGGAAAAAATATCGAATATCATTTTCTTGCAAAAAATTTACAGGTAAAGTTTTACATCAAGATAAAATATATATCGGCCAATCAGAATATCTAAAATTTTGATATAATATTGCATCATCTCAACAGCCAATTCCGGATCGAAAGCTGCATTGGAGATCTATCGAAGGTTTTGCAAATAGGTGAACTCAAATTTGGTTTATACAAACATAACCATAATTTCAATATCTCTGAGAAAGTGATTATCTGATGACCTTGAATTCTAGTTCATTTTCACTGTGCTGATGAGTTTTGAAAAATGAATGTATTTTTTTTTCTGTATTTATATAACAGAGGTAGTGTTCGATTTTTCCCTAGAGGCCCTTCCTCCTGCTTAGTAGAGGTTAGTAGTATCTTGTCACTCTTTTTCTCATTTACATATGTAATAAGTTTTAATGTTTTCATTACATTTTTTTCAGATTAATTTTTCATTTGAAGTTCCACATGCTTTAGCTCCAGTTGCATTTGTAAGCCTATTCTCGATATTGTGGATGATAGATTATGTCGCAAAATTTAAAATTTAATGTTTTGTCTCAGTGTTTATTTATCTACATGTATATATGTTTATCTATTTTCAGTTAATGAAACCGTTTATGGAGAAGCTTATGCGTGGAGGATTAGAACATTTTGCTGCCTTCGTGAAGACCTCCTAAGGCAGTAATCAAAAATATTTCATTTGCCCTTAGTCCAAATAAATTATTTTTAATTTAGTGTTTTTCGTTCTGGTGGTAACTTGTCCAAACTTGTAATGTTGTTCTTGTTAAATGACCGATATTTAAATGTCTAAAGTTATATAAAAAAAGATTATAACGATTGTTATGTGACAAAAATCTGTAACAAAACAATTATTTGTTGAATAAAATCTGACTGTTGTATATGTTTTCGTTAGATATTAACAATAATGATAACTAATAGTGGTACGTAACAAAAGTTTATAAAAAGAGTTTGTTCTAATTTTGTCTTAGTTGTGTGATACATATGGTAGCAACATCTATGCAATGTTATCAACTTGCTATAAGGTTTCTAGATTATTATCCGGTATCGCTCCCACAATAACACCGTTCCAAATCAACCACCCTTAAACTTGGACTTTAATTTGGCTTTTGATATTTTTTTAAGTTAACCTTTTACCAAAAAAAAAAAAAAAAATCAACCACCCTTAAGCTTGGCTCTATGAAATCCATTTACAGTTTTTGCCAACGATAATTATAAAATATTTGAATGGCTCTTAATAGAACAAGAAGGAGAGAGAGAGAGAGAGAGTATGTGTGTCTTAACTCTCAACTCTCAGAGCAACTGAGAAGTGGAAGCAAACAGTAAATGGGTGGGGTAAACTCATGCGGATGTATCGCACAAGTCTCCTTTAATCATTTCGAATTTAGCCGACATCTCCACTCTTGTGTTTATATATGGCCCGTTCGTTTATACGGTTGGAATGTAGCATATAGCTACAAGTACACTAGATATTTGGTAGTTTTGTTCAGTTGGATGCAAAACCAATGGACGCATTAAGAAAAAAATTAGATATTATATATATATATATATATATATATATTTATCGAAATTGAAAAGTTTGATATATAACAATATGAATTAAAGGGTCAACTAAGTAAATTATCGGCCATACAAAATTGGAGAAAAACAAAAGTAAAGCCTAATCGTTTTATTTCAATGAAACAGTATTTTTCAAGTATTAACTCTATAAAAATGAAATTCAAAATTCAAAATTTTTATGAAACGTTGGTTTATTTAGAGGAATAAGCACAAAATATTTGTTATTTAGAAATAATTTCGGATAGTTTATATGTATTGTAAAATATCTTAAATTGCTGGTCAACCAATAGTACTTCTACGTATATTGTTAGCTCTTTGGATAAACTAGAAGATGGAGCAAAGTATGGACTATGGAGACGTGCACTGGAAATGAAGCAAAGTGTATATCTACCAAATCCTCTAGATTGGGGGCAGAAGTTTGAAGAGACGGTCTTTTATTGATCATACTCGCAATAGTATACACACATGTGTATATATAATATATGTGTAAATGTGTATCTTTGGAACGTAACTTAGTTCTTTCATATATAATAGAGTACTATATAATATCCTAATTCACTTACCCACGATGTTATACCCACTTGCATATCGTGAAAGAACAATATATGAGTATCGTTGTATATGTAACTCTGTAAACAAGCATGCCACATCTTCCATACTCTTAAAGCAGCCATAGACATGTTAGAGTCTTATAGCCTAATAGGTATTCTTAAGCACTTAACATAGCCTCTTGCCTTATATGGACCAACCTGTTCATATCAATCTCTATCTTAGATTATGACTTTACCTTCCATTTTCAACACACTATTCTACAAATGTGACAAAAAGAAAATAAAAAACACTATTCCACAAATATATTTTAACATATGTATATGCTCATTTGGTTAAGAAAATGATTCGGTATAAATATTGGTGTAGTCCAAAAATTTCAACTTAGAATACTCTTATGAAAAAATAAATAGATTCCACCTTTTTATATTTATCGCATAAACTATAAAATAAATACTCAAATATATCGATTATCTTAGAGGATAATATAACAAGCATTAATCTAACACGTTTGTTATTATTTTAAGTTATGACTATGTATAACTAGTAAGGTCATTCAGAAAAAAAAATTACTTTTTTCTATTATATATTATAGAAAGTGAAATTTAATTGGAAAAAAAATATTATGTCGTCTATACACAAACATTTTTCTGTTCAAAATTCCTCTTTTCATTCGAGATGTATCACACACAAGAATTGCCCTTACATTTTTATATATTATACACAATTTAATCATGATGCTTAATATGTTTATATAAAGATCCGTACTCAACCAAGGCAATCTTTTTTGTAAGTTTATTAGCTTTAGTATGTCTTATTGTAGCCGCCATTTTTGTGTGGAGGATGAGGTCATAAGATGCACGTAGAATTCATTATGCTCTTGTTGAAAATATAAAAATAAAATTGTTAGGGTGACTTAATTAAATATAAGACACCAAGAAGGACGACTATATATATAAATCCTAGTTAAGAAGCAAAATTATGTAAATGAGGTTGGCTGATAAATTTGATTAAATAGTATAGTTGGTCGATTAAAATAGATACGAAAACTGGGTGGTAGAGAAGATAAAATAGTCATGTGTTAGATTTTGTTTTGTTTTTTTTTTTTCTCAAAATCATGCGCCTTCATAACAAATAGCATCATAAGATCATTTGAAATAATTGATTTATTGGTTTATTCTTATTAAACAGCAAGATGTTGACAGATTAGTATTATTACTATAATTTTGTGTATATGATCAGGAATAATTTGGTTACATCATTTTTGATTTTTTCACCCAAAACCATTATTTAGCCAAAAAAACATTACTTGTAGAGTTCTTTAACAAAACAAAAAAAATAACTGTAGAGTTTTACAAATAAACTAAGCGAAATTGGGTATGTTAGTGTCATTACCTTTTTGTACTCCTTTCTTTTGTGTGATTATATCCCACTTTTTCGTAAAATAGTTCATTATCTCAGTTTGTGGAATACTTACACATATGCATAATAGGTAAAACTATTCTTTCCATTAACAACCGAAATAGTTGAAAAACTCAAGTGTGATAAGATTAACCAAGTGGTAGATGATGATGTTTGAAAAAATTACCCTAAAGTACTATATTTTTAAGTTGTTGTCTCAAACTTACCGATACTAATATATTTTTCTAATAATACCATAAATTATTGTTGACAAATATTTGATAACTCTAAATAAATTACAAACACACTTAAAACACTAATACTTGATTATGTTTAAAACAATTTTTTCTTAAAAATGTGTTATTTTAGAGAATGACTCATAACGTCTTGTAATATTGCTAGCTAGTAGCTCCTAATTAAAATTTGGTGCTACGTATGAGAAGAAAATATTTTCATATTATAGAATTACAAAGATATACTAGTTAGCCAAACTGAAAATACAAAATATTACTTATAAATTTTTCAATATATTAATAATAAGAAATTTTGTCTTTATTAAACTAGATAATGGTATCAGAATCACGGAATAGTAACTAGTAACTAAATAAAATAAATAACTGAAAAAGAAAAAAGAACTACGTATTGTCAGGTTTAAAGTTGATAATTATAATCCATTGAATTCAGTTCAAGTAAAATTATGTGAAATTTTTAGGCAAAAAAAAGAAATAAATTATGTGCTAAAATGTTAAAACTTTGTATTTAAGAAAAGTGGAAAAAGAGAGAAAGAGAAGAAGATGAGGTGAGACCAAACATAATTGATCGTTCCACCGAAAAGTGTAAAGAAGGGCGGTGAAATTCTCAAATACGGTCAGGCAATAGTGTTTTCTGGGTATACAATCAATAATGGTTGGTCGGTTATGCAACTTTACATTTTATTTTCTCTGATAATTTAAAAAACTATGCAAATATTAAACAATACATTTGTTCCTTACCTTATAAATATAAAATACATGAAAATGAATTGGACCATTGAAGAAGCCGAAAGAAGTTAGATATAACCCACTCGTGGACATTCTCTCTTTTTTAAAAAATATTTAGCGAAACTATATATATGTATGTACTCGTCTACATATGTATCGATATATATTTGTTGTAATAGATGTATTTAATTTTTTTGTTTCAATTATCCTTAGTGGAGAATAATTCTTTTTACATGTTATATGTTTCGTCGTGTATCGAATAAACTGTCCGAAATATAATATATATATATATATATACATATCCACCGGAAAAGTCTTTCACTTCTGAGCTCTGATGTAACTCAAAATGATGCCCCATTCGAAGTGGCAAAAGGGAAACAAAGTATGTTTTTTAACCAACAAAAAAAAAGTCTTTCAAAATGGGGAGAAGATGTGGATTTATAAAATGCGCACTTTAAAACAAAAATTAAGATGTGTACATAGGACAAAAAAATGAAAATTCTGATTTTATCAATAAGCATTAGTTAAAGCAATCAATTGATACTAAATCTTAAAAGTTAACTATAGTTGAATTCAACAATAATTCTGTGGACTGATAATTAAATCGTTAATTCAATGAATGTTGTGAACACTTTTTTCGTAGTTAACATGAATCCAAAGATTAAACCGTGGGAATACGTAATACATAGACGTACTTAACCATCAAATCATCAGAGAATCGACGTGAACTCTGTCAGCACATGTATTCATTATTTTACTGTATAGCTAATAATATCCCTTTAAAGAAGAGTATTCATGAATTCTTATTAATGAATAATAACGATAAAGAAACTCCGGTTTTAACATGATCCTGGTTTTTTTTTTCTTTTAGTTGCTAAAATCATTTACGATTCATCGGGACCGTCACTATGGGTGACAATTGATACATATCAACGGCTGATTTGAGTTGTTTACTATATATGAATGGCTGTATGTGATTTGAGAAAACCATTCAAAATAAATTTTAATTTCGTCAAACCCCTAAACTATTTAAACATGATCTCTCCACCTTCGTCTCCATTTCTTCTGAAACATCATGAGCCATTGCTGAGTTCACGATTACCGTTATTCAATATGAAATCATGAAACATGTGTCCATCAAGCTTTCTTAAACTATACCATACACAGATACACTCATACAGATTAAATTATACGTGCGTACTACTATTTCAAAATAATTAAAACTTCCATTTAAGTCAATATAATTTAAACCGACCTCGAATAGCTGATGTACAAGTCAATCATTTGCATATGATGATTGATGAGGATATATAAGTTTAATTGTAGAAAACATTAATGTAGATACCTCCATGCATGCCGCATCCATAATTGTTCGTTCCCAAATATATGGCCAAAA